CCCCCCCACCCCCCCCCGCCCCGCTCTAACGGGTGCTGTAGTGTCAACGCAGTGGAAGTAAAATGCAATGTTCAGGTGCTGCCAGGGGCACCTGGAGTTAAAAAAATCATAAGAACAGCAGATACTTGTGCAGGGGCTGACCAAGGCTTGCTCTGGTGCCGGCAGGATAGGAGCCTCACTGGAAGGTTTTGCTGAGTTGTGAGGATGCAAACAGATGTATCGATTTTTTTTATTTAATGTACAACTTTTGGCTGTGCTCCCAATTTTCTCCTATTTTGAAAGGCCCTGATACTATGTATAATTGAAATGTTCTCTTTCACTTGCCCGGAAATTCTCAGCTGCATAAAGAAACACAACGAATGCAATAAGAATTAAGATCTGTCCTTGTGGCACATGTATAGTCTCTTGCTTTTGATCGATCAGGATCTCATGATAATAAGCTCTAACAGAAGGAAGCTGGAAACGGAGGAGACCAGAGGGGTCGTCAGGGCTTGAGGCCCATCTGTTTTACATTTACATTGCTGCTGAAGGTCATTCCAGGAAGGTTTTCCAGGAGGGTGTTTTGAAATGCTTTCTGCCTTCTCCCACCTGCTTAGGGGGTAGTTGCTAACTGTGCCCTTGGTGCAGAAAGTTGGGGGAGCAGAGTGCTTTGATATTTATTTATTTATTTTTCCCCCTTCACTCGTGGTCTGCTATCCCTGTGTGGTATCAGCTCGTCTCTCCCCACAGTTCCTGGGCATGTCCTAAATGCAAGACCTCTCTGGTGCCGATATTTACTTCTCTACAAGTAATTCGACTGCTGTAGCCTCCCACTTTCCCCCGCCCACCCGAGCCATCCCCATCCTGCTTTGACGGGCTGGATGGGAGCTCATCTGTGGCTGCGGGTGATCCGACTGGGTACTGTCAGAGAGATCCTTCTCTCCAATAAGCCGTGTTAATTTACCTTGTCCGGAACGTGAAGCAGGAAAGAGGCTTTTTTTTTTTTTCCTTCCCCACCCCTTCCTTTTTTTAAATTTTTTTTTTAAAGTTTAACAGGGGTAGAGTCGACTGCCTCCTTTAATTGTGCTCTTAAAACCCCTCTGGGAAATGTTGTGCTCAGCCGGAGCGTGCCTGGACTGTGCTGACCCATGTTTAGCCGATGCCTGTCACTTCTCATAGGCGTTTCTCTTCCCCCGCGGTACTCTGACAGCGTGCTGCAGCGCATCCTCTCGCTGCCCCTCCTGCAAGAAGAGCAGGGAGGGAGGGAGCGGGGTCTGCTCCCCGTCTCTCCTTCACGGAAACACATCCAATACCGCGGACTCGGGAGGCCCGGAGCACCCCCTCCCCGTCCCCCGGGCCTCCGCCGGGGTGTTAAAAAAACAGAGGGGGGGGGAAATGGGGGTAAGGGGGAGCGAGGAGAAGGCGCCGTCCAGTGGGGCTGCGGCGGCGGGGGGAGCGCAGCCCCCTCCCCCCGCGGTGCAGGGGGCGCCGCGG